AAAATGGCAAACAATTCCAAGGAATTGAAACAGTGGGAACCGGTTCTCAACAAGAACCGGTTTTCGATACCCATCCCTACAACTGACTAGCTTAATTGGCTGGTGAATACTTTGGTATCACCTTGGAAATTAATCCATATTCATGAGCAAGCGTGGTGTTAGAGCACAGATGGATGGGTGCATTTAGTAGTCTGATTGCAGTGGGATGTAAAGGATTTTTGGAAAGATTACTTCTGATATCAGATTTGTTGATGGTGTGAGCCTCCCAGCAGAACCCTGGACAGCAGATGCAGCGAGTTATCTCAATTCAAGAGAACAGTTCAAGCTCAGTTTTAAAAAAGTCCGACAGGCTTCTTTGTTTATGTCCACATAAATCTGTGACTTTCCTCCATTGGAGCTTTGAACTGAAGACACTTCAGTGAGAAATGAAACGTCTTCAAGCAACTTAAATAAGTCCAGACGCTTTTCTTTCCAAGCTCCTTAGATCTTTCCACTGTTTCACTGCCTCACATTGCCATTGGGTGTATTTTTATGTTTAACACTGAGACAGCAGAACGAGTGAATGCAGAGGCTTGTTCTAGGCCCAGGTGAGCAGAGTATGCCGAAGTATGTTTGGACTCCCTACAAAAGAATCCGTGTCAGACGAATTAGGCACGCTAGTCATCCATGTTTAACTGATTTATTGCATCGGTCTTGTAATGAACAATTAAAAGAAACACTGCACCATATCTTATTCTTAAATTGTATCATAAAATAATTGTATATGACTGTTTCTCTCTCAGGAGGCTGGCCAAATCCACACTCCTGCTGATTCCTTTGTTTGGCATCCACTACGTGGTCTTCGTGACTCTCAGTGAATCCATCGCAGAAGATTATAAAATATTTTTTGACCTTGCCCTTGGATCTTTTCAGGTGCTGAACAAGTGTCTTTCACCTTATTGATCATTTAAAGCAGCGATTCTGAAACTTTTCTGAAAAAACTTTACTTCATTAAGTGTTTTTTTTTTTTAGGGTCTGGTCGTGGCCATTCTCTACTGTTTCCTGAACAGTGAGGTAAGTTATCAGGTGAACTGATAACATAAAAGTATGGATTTAGTCATTTTAATGAGCAGTCAAATTGATTAAACAGTAAAACATTTGAGTGAAAGTGATTTCTGGGAGGCAAAATAGAAAAGCTCTTAAAATCTCTCCATGAATGTTTCTATACTCAACTGATAGTGTGCCTGTTTAGCTTAATTTTGTCAATCTTTCATAGAAACATTTAATAAATTAAATTTGTTGGAGCTAAAACGTTTTCCAACATTTCAGTGTTTTCCTTATATTAGTTTATTAAAAAGTGTTTAAAATTAAAATCTGCAAAGTGTTGATTGCTGAGTGTCCTCCTTCTATCTGCCAGTCAGACTTCATTCATTAGTAAACTTAGCTACACTGTGTCAGCTGAATTTGTTACACATTTTGACTTTATGTAAAATCATTGGATGTATGATGATGTGTTCCATTACATTATCATAAATACTGGTGAGTGGTGAATTTGACAGATGGAGGAAGTTCTACTCAATCAGTTAGAAGCTGCCTGGGATCCCAAATAATTACTGTGCATGTAACTGATATGTGTGATTAATATTTGGAATGAGGTAGTGATTGAACTGTAGCAAAGTTTTATGTTCTCCATAGATACTCATGGAGAATATGAAGAAAAACAAAGATGAATGGCAGATATCAAAAAAGAGGAAAGTATTTATAGATTTAAGATGCCACTCAATTTCACAATTTGATCAACTGGATACAAAATAACAAGGAAGCATCTTTTCTTTGTTCTTTTCCTAAAGTGGAAGGTGCTCATTGATGCAAATGCTGAGAAAGATTTTCTAAATTTGGTCTCACAGCATTCTTCTTGCCACCATTCTGCAGCCCCGAGCTCCAACAGAAATTGGGGAATGGGAAACTGAATTTTCCACCAGCTAAGCAGGCTGATTTATCCTGGTTTATAAGATGATCATACAGATAATCAGACATAATCATGCCAAATGTTGCTGGACCAAATGGATCAAATCATGATAATGCGATGCAAAAGAATTAAAAAATATTTAAATCTAGATATATGTTTACTCACTTTCATCATGACATGATAAAATTCATCATCACTTCAATCAGAATGTTTATGTGCAGATACATATCCGGTAGATGGTGGCTCTCAAGCACAGCAATGTAAAACACACACACACACACACACACACACACACACACACACACACACAAATATACATAAAGGCTGTGTCTCCCATTTTTTAGTATCCCCCAGAAGTAGCAGATGAGATGCATCTGCAATCCTAACTGGATCAAGTTTTTAGCTATATTGGTGTTTAGTTCATCCAAATGATTTAATTTTTTTATTTTACCTGTTCCTGAAGGTTCAAGGTGAGCTAAAAAGAAAGTGGCGGAGCATGTGTCTGAACTGTCGTCTGAGCAGGAATCGCCACAACAACACCTTCGCCTCCAGAAACGGTTCACAGCACATGGTGCAGTTTCACAGCAACTCCAGAACCCAGTCCATTCTGCAGACAGAGACCTCGGTGCTGTGAGAACACGAGGTCTTTGACACACAAACAAACACTACAAAAACACAAAAAAAATGCAGTCTTAAGATTGACCTGGGTCTAATAGTTTTACAAAGTTATTAAAAAAATACAAAAAAAGAGGAAAAAACAGTACTTTGAGATGAAGTACCACATGGGTGGGACCTGCACATCACTGTAGTGCAGATTTTGGTTTTAGCTTTACAAATCTCTGCAAGCCTTCAAGTTTCTCATTAGTGGATCAAAAGCTTTTCAGATCTGTCCAGTGAGGTTTACTGTGTTTGCTGCTAAGAGCCTTTTTTTTTTTGCAGTCTTTATGCTATGATGTCTGCTACGTGAGCAGAGAAAAACATGTGCAACGTCCTTATACTGTTTTACCTGGAGCTTTGTGCACAGATGAGATGTAAAATGTATATACTTGAATGTTGCATGCATTGAAATCTATATTTTTGAACAAACATATACGTGTAGTAGAAACAGCAGGATCTAGGTGCTGCAGACTTTAAATTGGCACTTGCAAAAAATGCAAAAAAACAAAAAAACAAAAAACAGAACCATTTTTGCCATCTTTAACAGAAAGGAAAACAGGTGATTGTTTAAGTATACAAATCTTTATATAACTGTTGCCTGCTGTGCGATTTAACACCACTTGTAATACTGTGCTGCAGTCTTAATGCTGTCATTTTGGATCCATGTTGTAAAATATAATAGATTGGCTATGGGAAACCTTGCAATACTTTTTTGTTTGATACTAAAATTCATGGTAGCCGTGTCAGGATTTAGTTTCCAGAACGTGCATGCTGTATGCAATAACGCAGCAAAGTGACAGTCCTGTCATTAAATCCCGCAAAACTACTCACCTTAGTTCTTTCTTATATGTTTTCAATCCTTTTCCATGTGCCTCCTGTGTTCTCCCAGCCTTATCACAGGTGTCTGTGTGAGTTTGTTCCTCACCCTGTTTCAGTTTAATCTGAGCTTTGAAAGAATGATCTTAATGTGGTCGATTTTAATTCCAATCTTTTTTAATGTCCTGTTCTCATTATTGTCTTGATCGAGTCCATCTGTTCCCTCTCCATGGTGTTTGTCTTAGAAAAATAGACTCTTAGCCTCCAAATGTTCTCCTGTTGTTTGGTGCTCCTGGCTGGCTGTCACTCTGTAAAGCACCTTAAGTTATCAAATTCCTGATTAAAGCCTCTTGTGTTTCGCCCCCCTCCTGTCAGTTGCTGCTGTGTTTGCATACTGGGTCCTAATGGGAATATTTCCAAAAATCTGTGAGAAATGCTGGTGTCCAAACCCAACTTGAACACAGCGTTTGCTTCCAGTACCAAGTCATTGTTGTTGCCTTTTTACCACAGCTGTCTCCAAACCCAAATTTGGGCATGTTATCCCTTTTGGAGACCATCGGTAGTACATTTATTATCATTTAAATAGAAAAACTTGGTTATGTAAATTTAAAAATAAAAAAATAAAAAAATCAAGTTGTAAAAAATTGATTTGTAAATATTTTTTTAAACATTAGGTTTTACTTATAGTGTCTCTAACTGTTCTTTCAATAAGCTTCTCCTAGTTTTTTTTCAAACCATTTCACATAAAGGTCAGTTTTAATAATTGATTTTTTACAAATATGCAGGGAAAGGTGACAACTTGTCACTTCAGTGAATCATTTACTGGTCCACAGTGGCCACACCCACCCATTTGATACTTAAAATTACTGGTAAGAATAAGTCGAAAGCGCATTTTGACCCAGGTCAGCACATGAGCTCAGTGTTTCTGGGCTTATCGTTAAAAAAAAAACAAAACCATTGGTAAACACAGGGTTGTTTTGTACCAATTTTAATCCAAAACACTTTCATTTTTGATGCACAGTCAACAAACTGCTGTCACTGAGAAGTCCTGAGCGAGCATCAAACTCTTCATCCATGCTCTGATGGTTTTGGCACAGTGCTCGGTGACCTGTTCTAAAGACACAACACAGACGAGCACTTTAAAGATGTCATTTAATTAACAAGATGGCGTGTTTGTGAGAACCTGTGTTGGGAAACAATGATGTCTTTAAAATTACTTACATAAAAAGAGGTTTATATGATAGAAATTCGCTTCAAAACACATTTAATGTGTTTCAGCAGAAGAACCTCCAGGCCGTCACCACTTAATGCAAAAGTGCCTGGTGGATACAAGTAAATATGAAATGTTTTACTTTATGTTGGTTTTATTCATGCAACCAGTGTTTTGTGGTAGTTGCATGAAATCCTCAGTGTTTGACTCTTTTTGATTGCTTTTGGTAAACGGCTGTTAACCTGTGATTTCTTGTAGATTCTAATTGTATATTTTGTCAAGACAAAACGTGAAAAAATGAAAACTTTTGCTTTTTGCAATGTGCTTTATTTTTCTTTAACATGTTGTATTTAATGGTCAGCACAATACAAAAAGTTCTGGTGACACTTGATTTAAGGCATACAGAATTATTTTTAGTAGTTTCCTCTTCAAACCTTTAATTTAAGTTTATGTGTGTGTCCCTATATTTTAAATCAGCATTCAGTTCTTGCGTTGTGTCACAAAATATAGTTAATAAAATACACATAAACATCGAGGTAAAGTCATACTTGCAGCAGCAAATAATCTGGTCCATAAAATTTGAAGAACATAGAAGGAGATCAGATATTTGTCCAAACTTATTTCAATGTGTTTTGCAGGGTGAACAACACTGAGGCAGAGACGAGTCTTGAAAT